CCGCAGAGCGGGGTCGGCGGATTAAGGGGGATGCTAGGAGTTTAGATTAGAGCTAATATATGGCTCAGGTTTGGCCCCCACTCAGTAACAGCAGTATAGCAGGAGTATATAGGGACCTGAAAATTATTACCATCATGCCCTGGTGTTCGCTATTGGGGTGGGTGGGGGGCTGTGCACCACTGTAGTAAAGTGCCAGGACAGTTATCTGGAAGCCCCAATCACCTGCACACACTGGGCGCACCCTACACAGCCTAATGGCAGCGAGTTGACACCTACCTGCCAAGGTGCCTTTTTTTTTCAAGTCTGCTCAGAAGAACTGGGATACTTCTGCAAGCTATGGATGCCTTACTGGGCCCCCGTGGATCCCAATTTGAAGTCCCAGCAGCACTAGGTGGTTCAGATGTCGGACTTCTTCCTCTACAACCAGCAGGCCTGATTTGAGCAAAGATCCCTGGACCCTAAACCCTAAACGGTAGTTTCCATTTCATTTTCCATGTGCTTCCCATATGATTCCCCATTATTGGGCTCTGCGTAGGGGAGGAGGCCTCCTGTTTTCAGTTTGGCATTCTGCGGCATTGCTATCGGACCTACAATCTTAGCCTACAAGAGGGTCCCGGCATTCGTTTAGGGCTTTGCTGAGCTGCTGCCTGTACATTCTGGGTTGCTGTTTTGGAACTCTTTTTTCGGCACTGTATTTGGGAAACCCCATTATTTACCATATATAGCCATTATGGTAAGTTAATTTAAGTTCCTTAACAGCAACCCAGCTGTTCTAGTCTTCATGGCCATTTTGAATGTGAGGCTTTTGAAATGGTTGCTGCCTCCTAGCAACTGTCGCCGCTAGCGCGCTGACTTTAGGGAACTGACACATCGGCAGGCCAAGCCATGGCCATTTCCACCACCTCCATATAGGGCATATGCAAAGGACAACAAACTGGAGACTATTCTGTAATAGGGTAGCATTCTGCTACCAAGTGTTGCTCCGGCAGGTGGAAGTCGAAGGCTACGATTCCGCGTCGCCGGGATGCAGTCAGGTGGATCATGGACCCGAGGGTCTTCAGAAAAGCGCGCAGCGTGCGTTCAGGTCTTAGTTGAAGTGCGGTTGTATCCTCGAGATACGCCCAGTATGACTAACCCTATAGCCCTATTGCGGCTCTCAAAAGTTGGTTCCCGAACCCATCAGTAGCCCAAGGTCTAATCAACTAGGCGTGCTTTGTTTGAAGGCTTGGGCTGCTTTGGCCTTGGATGACAAAGGCATCCTACATATCTGTGCCGGAAGTTGGCATCCACATCAAAAGCCTATTCAAGATACCTGTGAGAAGATCATGGACTGTTACTCTTGGAGCTTTGAGGGGGTCCTTTCTTCTGGCAAGGATTACATGTTCTACAGAGGTCTATATGGGGGCCCCTGTAAAAGCTTGTGTTATATGAGCACAGAGTAGAGACCCCAGAGTTGCTCAGGGTCTTCTACTGCGACCCCTGCGACACGCCGGTGAACCTGCGAGAGGAGCTTGGGGGCATTGGGGGGCTAGCCTTTTTTTTTAATATCTATTTTTTGTTGCCCAATGCAGCAACTGCCGGCTTTGAGTGGGGCGCTGGGTTGGTAAGTTACACTGGTACGTCCGACCTGCATTCCGTGAGCTACGTACTGTAGTGGAGAGCAAAAGTTGTTATGTTGGGTTTCGCAGGTTGTGGATGTGAAGGTATATGAGGGACTCTCTTTCAAGCACGAGCCTCAATGGTGTCAAGGCTGTGATGGTCTCAGGAGTTCGATGTCCCATCTTGAGTTTGTAATCTCCGGACCCAGCATTGAACCCTGCTAAGGTTCAGGAGCCCTGGACCAAAGCGACCACACCCAACTCCCAAAGTCCTCTTTGCTTGGCCAAAATTTTGGATTTGCACTCGGGTGTGTGCGGCCACCACCCGAGTCATGATGTGTGCCTGATCGGGCCTGTCTGGCGATGCATGCGATGCTGCAAGCAAACCAGCAGTACTTGCTGGGGGCCTACTGCTGTCAATGTTGACGCATTTTGCCCACTGCGTAGTAGCAACTGTGATAGTAAAGACCAACATCCTCTCCTCGACAGGAATCCTTTACCTTGAGACCCATTAACATTACATTGGATTGCTGTTAAGGAACTTAAGTTACCATAATGGGTCTCAGTAATTAAAAGGGCTCCCCCATTGTAGTAGCTTAGATTAAGTTCCTTAACAGCAGCCCAGTAAAAACATCACAAGCTTCCAGGAGCCCTACAATCTTGGTGACCGAAATGCGGAGACCAAATGGCTGGACTACACCAGCAATGCTTTCTTCATGAGGCCGGGCATTGTCATCAGCCTCCCAGAGATATCCCCCATTACCTCGCATGACTCCATTGTTCTAGTCTGGTACTGCGCAAAGAGGTTGCTGTACTGTGTCTTAGAAGGGATAGGGGTGGAGACTGGGTGTAGCAGGAAGGGAGTCGAATCTAGGCTCAGAGATCACATTAGACTACAGGATCAGGGGTTTAGGTGCTGGGGTGCAAGGGCGAGCCTACCCAGACACAGCCGTTGAATGGCATTCTTGCAGTGCAGCGGAGCCACGAGAAACCTGGACCCCCCAGATCCTAGATCGGGATAGCCCAAAGCTTGACGCGGAGCCAAGAAATTCAAGGGCCCCAAGTCCCTAGTCCAGTTTCTAGGATTCGTAGCAGTCATTTCTGATGCTTTTTGGCGCCCTGGTTGATTGCTATAGGGTTTGGCAGTACCAATTTGAATCGTTCACTGTGCCTCTTGAGGCATCCTGAAGCTAGCGGTGCAGCAAGATGCAATTGGGTGGTTGTCAAAATTATGGTCCCTTTTTTGGGTACCCATTATAGTACGGCACCTAGTATTTAGGGTACCCAAAAAGGGCCCACAATTTTGACAACCTCCCAATTCTGAGTGTGAACTCCAGAGCCGAAAGCTTTAACCCCCTAATCATTGTGGGGGCCTACAGTCCCCCCACCCCTTAAGTAGATAGAATATGGGATTTATGAGCATCTAATTATGGTTATTGTCAAAGCCATATTCTATCTACTTAGGGGGGACTGTATTTAGTAGGGTACCTCATAGACTGCAAAATGATATGATGATCATTGAGGCTTCTGTAGCACCCCTTACCTCAACCACAAGCCTGTGTAATAAAGGACTTCAAAACTAGCATAAGGGGAAGGTTCAGAGAAAACTCCCACTCCTGACCCAATCGCTGGACTTGGATTGAGGTGTAACCCTACTCCTAATGCCTACGCCGTAGTATTCCGGAAGTCCCTAGTCCCAAACCTCATAAGTTGGATATTCCTGGAATAATCTTTAAGCTTCACGGGCCGCATCCCTGTGTATTCCTTCTATTTCTCCATCAGACTTAAGTTTGTATAGGGCCCCTAGATATGTCCCAGCATATTTTGTAGTAGCCCTGAAGGCTACCAGTGGCCCAGCCGGCCTTCAGTTACAGCTTCGTGACCGGCAACGATGAGCCGCAACGAGATCCTGTGAGGTGGCAGCTTTGGGGTTCCTGGGCTCAGACATTTTGGATTTATTGGGTTTTAGGATTTCGGGGGTTTAGGGTTTCAGGGATTTAGGGTTCAGAATTTCAGGGGTTCAGGGGTTAGTGGGTTGAGGTTTAGGATTTGAGTTTTGGGCTTGGGGCTTTTGGATTTAGGAGCATTGGGTCTGTGGTTGTTTTTTCTTCTTTGTTTGGGTTTCTAGGGTTGGGGATCTAAGGTGTTCACGGGTAAGGGTTCAGGGTTTGGGGAGAGGGTCGCAGGTTTTTGGTGTAGTTGGTTCAAGTACTTTGCGTCGAGTTTCGTTGGTAGCAGGTACGATTTCTCTGATTGACAGTCATGGCGTATACAAGCTTTATACGAGTGCTACGCATTTTCTTTTTCTTATTTCATAACTTGATTCAGTTTCACTTTTGTCACGTGTGCAGGGTGAGGATTGCAAGTACTTCTGCTCTGATGTGATGCAAGCCCATGGCGTAGCTGTTTCTTTTTGCCCAACCTTACGCACCCTCTTACCACAGGGCACATCCAACACCGATGAAATCACCCACAGCATGTTGAAAGCCGAAGTAGCAACCAGGCGCCAGGAGGCATGCTTGCCCTCTGCTGCTCTTCCTACTGCTGCTATTAGTGCGACAACGCATTGTCCAAGGTTCGCCCAACAACATTGACTGGGTCATCCTTCATGAAATCAAGGACCGTGCCACAGGCGAGTCCATTGTCCCGGTGGATACCCGGCTGCAGGTTGACGCCCTGTGTTGGCATCTTTGCGGGGAGTGTGGGGGTAGTTGAGCAGATTAGTGGTGCTGGGAGGATGATGCTGCATGAGGGCTAAAAATGGACCTGAATAGGGATAGTGGAAGTGCAGGGAAAGTTTGCGGCAGTGATTTTTATAAGCCCAAAGCCTCACTAAACTCCAAGATCTGAAGCCTGAATATGGAGCACCTCTATGTTTCTCACTTCGAGCTCAGGATCGCAAGACCAGCACGGGGCAGATCCAGGCCTCCGCACAGCAAGCGTGGAGCTTCGATGGTGGGAGTGGGGGTTTGGGACAGGAAGAGGCTGATGTTGCACTTTCTCATCTTGTTGAGGGGAACCTTGTCTTACGCAGCTTGTCGTTCATCCCTTGCTAGGTCACCATCAAATCCAGAAGAGCAAATCTTTCAAGTCGTACACAGCAGCCTTGCTAGACCGTCTTTCAACATAGCATCTGTGCAGGTCGATGTGCCGTGCTACTCCCCAACCGGGAGCTACATCGACAACTCGGCACTCTGGCCGCATTGCGTGCCAGCTTCAGGATTTGGGCTTTTGCGGCTATGATGGCTTGTAACTGACAGATATATAACCCCTATATAACCCATTTGAGTTGTTTCCATTTTCTTTTCCATTATCCCCATATAACCCCAATATAACCCTAGTTTAAGGAAACCCTTAAACCACCCATATGTTCAGCTCAAAACCTAGCCGCGTCCCATGAGCTGCCAGGCAAACATCACCTGCCAAGAGGGGGACCTCATCCAACATGGGTACAACTGCACCCCCGCCTGCCTACCGGGCTTCGCGGTACCTTGTCCTGCACACGTAGCTCTGGGTTCAAGATTTCTGCGCAGGGCTACGCCTACCATTCCTCAGGCTTGGACTACGACTAGTATTAGTCTATTCGTGATGCCATCGCTAGTATTACCCCAATGTGTACAATATCATCGACACAGGCCAAAACATCACGAGCACGCAACCACCGCACGGCATGACCACTGCCAAACCCCATATCTACCACAATCACCACGACATCCAGCTCGTCCACCGTCGCTGTTATTTCATTTGTTCCCATATTATTCCCAAAATATTCAAGACCGCTTTACATGGGCTTTGCTTTTCAATTTCGTTTGAGAACACCGCTTTCGACAATTGAGGGGAGGCTGACGACCCTCCCTTGTTGATGGTGCATGGTTCAGATGTCTAAGGATTGAGTGAGCACAAGCTGTGAGGCAAAGAAATTGCAGCTTCTAGTTGGGCAATTCCATTTGCGATCATTCCTTTCTATAGATCTTTACATAACCTCTATGTGGTAGTTTTCCTACATTAGGGTCCCCGTTATATACCCCAATATACTATACTGCTTATGATGGGGACCCTCAAAAGCGGATCCCTAATTTTTGTAATTTTTGGAATCCTCTCCATATATCAATATACACCCAAAAGCCCTAAAGCGTAAATCCTAAACCCGAACAATATCCCTATATACTCAACAAAGCTAGCTTCTGAGGGATGTTTTCACCTTTGCAGTTAATATGTAAGGAATTTGTAGCGTTTAGGGTTTAGGTTGTTAAATATACGGCATTCTACCAGGGATTATATACGGGTTTGTATACGGGATTTTTTTTATGGGATTATGTATTTTTTGCAAGGGACTGTATACGTTATATGGGGGTATACAGGGGTCCTTCCAACAACAACGCATGTCAAATCCCAAACGGTCCTGGTGCGGCCGTGCCAATTTGATTTTTCCCACATGTCATGCCATGGAACTTCTATGTTGTGTGCTTTATTCTCAGGTCAAAAAATCCGGCCTAACGCACACAGGCCTTATAATCTCGAAAGCACACCCTCGTCACCCATCACCCACACATATTTCAAGTGTAATCCGTATAATGCCCTACAGACCCTTTAGACACCGTACCATTCCATACATCCCTACAGAATCCCCTTGAGCTCACACTCAGGCAGATGTAGATGAGATCACGTGCCTCGACGGAGAGCTCGCGCCCCCAACCTTCGCGTGCGACCCGGACAACAGCACCGTCTGAGGAGGAGGATGTGGGGATGTGCCAAAATGGTGGCCTCTTTCTCCGATTCCTGTATACAGCATCCTGTGCAGAGATGGGCATAAATTTGGCACATGCCCCTGTAGGAATTGTAGGATGTAGGACCTTTCATGAGAATGGCATTGGCCGTACATCTTAGCAGTATGACAGCACGGCAAAAGTTGTTGGTATTTGTCTGAGCGAGTAAACAATCTAACAGCAGGCTCATGGACTTCACGCTGGGGAAGACTAACAGATGGGCTCAAAGCCCTGAAACTGCCGTGATGGCAACCGTGGTTGCCATCTGCGCTGTAAATGCTCCGCTTCCTGCGCTGAGATGACCTCAAAGCTGGACTCCTTGGGTGACACAGATCCAATCCAAACGCACAGGTGTTCCAAGTGAAGGAAGGGGGCATGATGAAACCCCAAGGTTGTAGCTTCAATTTGTTGATGGTAGTTCTGGATGAAACTGTACTACTAGCACTTTTTTGAACTACATGAGCGGAAAGCAAGCGCAAGCTCCCCCTGGACGCTAGTGTTCGACTTAAGAAGAAATGCCTCGGATGCGGCTATGGGAGCTCGCGTTTTTCCTATGTATCATCCTGAACCATCTTTATTCAGGATGTTCAAGGGCACCTCTCCTTGAGAAATGCTCACAAAAGTATATGTCTGTAGCGTTCATAGTCGTGGTTAAGACCATATTACAGCCGTTCGAGTTCTGGCATGGAAGCACCAAGATCCGAGCAACATCAAGAGCAGACACTAGTCCCGAAAGCCAGAGCCCCAAGCCATAAACTCAAGCCCGAAGCCCTAAACCCCAGATCTTTAGGGATCATGGAAAAGAGAATGGAAACTACTATAGTAGATTGGGGTTATATAGGGATAGTGGAAAAGAGAGTGGAAATTATTATAGTATATTGTATATAGGGATAATGGAAAAGAGAATGGAAACTACTACGCAGTATAGTGTACCTAGGGACAATGGAAAAGAGAATGGAAACTATTATGATATATTGTATATAGGGATAATGGAAAAAGAATGGAGACCGCTATGGTAGATTGGGGTTATATAGGGATAGTGGAAAAGAGAGTGGAAACTATTATAGTATATTGTATATAGGGATAATCGAAAAGAGAATGGAAACTGCTACGTAGTATATTGTACACAGGGATAATGGAAAAGAGAATGGAAACTACTATAGTAAATTGTATATAGGGATAGTAGAAAAAGAATGGATATTACTGTAGTATATTGTATATAGGGATAACGGAAAAGAGAAAGGAAACTAGCGTGTAGTATATGAAGCCACAAATCCTACTTGGAAGGTCAGGGGGACATAAGAAGTAGCCTCATAACCCCTATAACCCATACAGTAACCCCAAGTATCCCCATTATTAAGCTACTTACTAAGTCCTCCTGACCCTCCAAGTAAGCCCTTAACCCTAAACCCCAAACCCTAAGTAACCCTAAACCCCAAACCCTAAGTAAACTTAATCCAAGTACACCCTAGACAGCTTTGGGCAAATCTCCAATGTGCGCGAGAAGCTCTGTCTGCCTTTGCGGCCAAAGACAAAACTCAGGGATTTAGGGTTCAGGGTTTAGAGTTTAGAGGGTCCATGTACCCAACAATCGGGTACTTGGGTTTTGGATAATAGTAATTCTAGTATAGGTTCTGGGCAAGTATATGATTATTGGGTGCTTGGACCCCTGGGGAAAGCGTTCTTCTATGCCGCGTGTGTGTATACGGGGGCTAAAGGTAGGGTTTCCCAAAAGGTTCGCAATAGGATGCCTTACAGGGATCCCCCTGATCTTTGAATAGTTGCTGAATGTTTTCAGGTTTTTATCATGAAGACAGATTTCGCTCTTCAGATTTGTACGGTTCTGTGAGGAAATTGTGGAGCTCTAGGATTGCTAGTCGTGGGTTTTGTGATCTGATGGTCCTAACCAGGAGACAAGCGCTTCCCAGTTGCTGAACCATTGAACCTATTGCTCGCTTTCATGTTGCTGGCTACCAAAGCAAGACTCGCACGGTTGCAGCACTCACATCCGTCAATGGCAGGCCCTTCTCCTTACTTCAAAGCGTCTAGGACCGCAGCTTATTTTCTGTTCTCTCCCAGCTTGCCGAGAAATTCTGACGCCAATTTTCAACCTTTATGCCTTTGACTTGCACTTATAGCAGTCTGTTTAGACTTCAAAGGTTTTCATGGACCCCACCTGATTGTTGCGTATTCGTTTCAAGACTTCGGGGCTTCCCAAAGTCAGACAGCCACATCACACAACCTCACACAGTAGCTACCCGCCTGGTGAACGATTCTGAGATGATTGAAGTTTACGGTTTCTCAAAAAAGGGCAAGCCCCTGACTTCTCTATATCTTCCCATACACCCGCACAAGCAGATCCCCCAATTTTTGCACTCCCTCTCGCCTTATGAAACGATGATGTGCTAATCCGTCTGTCAGCGCTACGGAGCCCTAGCAAGACTTCCATACATGCTGGATACCTCAACAGCGCTAACCCTGATGTAAACCTAAGCGCCAAGCTCTAAACCCAAGCCCTTACTCCAAGCCCCAAACCCTGAAGTCCAAACCCCAAACCCAAAAAAACCCCAAAACCCCATAAGCTAAAGTCTACAAGCTGACCCCCTGTTAGTTGTTTAGACTGTAAACTCTAAACCCTAAATCCTGAACCCCCAAACCCTTACAACCCCATACCAAGGTGGGGCTTCATTACCATGGGGGATACCAACCTAGCTCAGGCTGCCATTGCGGTGGGGGGCTCAGCCTCTTAGGGGGTTAGGGTTAATGATCTAGGGCTTAGGGTTTAATTCAGGGCTGAGTTCTACGAGCAACTCCCTGGTGCCTAAGGGAGAGTGGGGGAGCAAATACAGGTATTATTGTAGAGATCCGCTCCCCGACTCCCCATTAAGCACCAGTAAGCTACTGTTTAGGATTAAGGTTAGTTAGGAAGGAGTGTTGGCTGTTTTCCAGGATTCCCAGTAGGTCTCCAGTGGGCGTTGGAATTGTCACTGCTATCGATTCAGGCCTGCGAGCATCATGTTTGGAGTCCGCATGAACCACGCCCCAGGAGTAGGTATGGGTGACCCCACTTTTTAGAGCTAGCCAAACTAGGTCCAGCATTCAAGCTTGCTCTGCATATGGGAAGGAATCAATGATACCCCCATGCCAGTATAGATTCAACCCCGGAACCATATCTTGGCTTGGCACTTCCCAGCTTGAGACTAAAGAGGCTAATGGCGGCAGCTAAGCTCCTAGTAACACAGTTCACCATGCAGCTATTCCACCTTGGGTACGCCTGAAGTGGACGCCCTCTGTTCCCATCCCATCTCGAGGAGATGAACGGCAAGACGCTGCATCCTCCGCAAGTAGCACAAGTAGACTACAGCATGAACCAGGTGAACCAGATGAACCAGATGAACCAGATGGACCAGATGAACCAGCAGGCTGCCGATCTTGGTGTGGGCGTGGTTTCGATCGGGCATAAGCTTGTGGGGATGGTTTTAGTTTTGGTCCCCACTTGCATGAAACTTGGTGGGCGGTTCTCATGACGGGTTGTGGGCGTACAGCACCGTGGAATCCTTTTAAGGCGTTGAGGTCTGGTTTTAGGCCGTAAAAGTCTGAAGGGGTTGGAATGTCATGTGTCAAGAGCCCAGAGTGTTTTGGAACGCGCGACTACCCCTGCAAGATTATTTCAGCAAGATGCTGAGGGGGTTCCCTACTAAGAGAGGCAAGTTGAGGTAGAGAGACTGCGGCTCCTGAAGCTGAAAGCTTGTTGCTTTCATGCTCAGTATGGCAGACATTTCAATCTTGACTAGTTGCCCGTTTTGAATAAGCAGCTGTTGCACAGCGGTACTGAAACTGCTTCTTTCTCAGGTGAGGTCCAGCTTGATTCCTGCACCTTGCACATCTTTCTGCAGCTCGAAGTACGTCCCCCCCAGCAGCTCAAGATGCAATCATCCAGTCCCCTCGTAAAGGGGACGTCGTTCCTGGGGTCGGTTCATGACCAGTTTGTAATCCGTTTGAGCAGACCCTAGGTCCTAGGTCCTAGCTGTCCTTGCCTCGGCTGACAGTCCAGGTGGATTTTGCTGCTTTGATCACCAGCCTCCAAAAGCCCAAGCCCTAATGAGCTACAGTCTAAACTCCATAGTCAGGGATCTAGAGTGGATACTCTAGGGGAGTATTATAGGGGTGACTAAGGGGGATGCTAGGAGTTTAGACTATGGCTCATATAACTATATGATATATTCCCCTCTTCCCTACTGTAACCCCAAGATGTACGCTATTGTAATGTAGTAGTTTCCATCTTATTTTCCATTAGCCCTATATAGGTCAGTAGTCTGGGGCAGGCTGGTATGGTCGACATGCATGCAGGCGGTCGGATGCTCGGTGCAATATCTCATGGCCCGGAACTGTTGGAGATGTTCTGAAATATACGAGATATGTTGGGATATATATAGGAAACGTTGGAGATTTATTGGGGTAATGGAAAAGAACATGGAAACTACTGGTCTTAGGAGTTCCTTGCGTGAGCTTCTGTACCAGGGTCTGGGTGGGGCCAGGATGTTGAACAACTTCCATCTAGTGGTAGGTCTCAGAAGAAGCAGTGACGCACCCTTCGTGATTGCTGATCAGTCGCCCACAAGCTTCAATACCAATGCAGTGGGTATACCCCGCGAACTTCCCTCACCAAGACTACTCTGCCTCAGGAGGATTTTTGTAGTCGCCATTTGAAAGTGTATCTTAAACAAACGATAGCTGACCACCTGAAGCTGGCCCGCTACACGTTATGGGCCAGCTCATCATGGAAGGCAATATACAGTGCTCCCCAAATAGAGTCAAGATCCCCTTGACCATTGTCGGCTATTGGCACCAAACGCCCCCTAAGTATGGATATACAATCATAGGGAGTTTCTTAATCCCAATACCCAAGGTGACATATGCCATATGCCTACATAGGCAAGGGGTTCCTTATAGATTTTGGTTTA